ATGCCCATGTCCCATAATGGAGTACCTGGGTTCAATACCTGGTTCTGACTTCCTTCTAATGTGCACCCTGGGGGGCAGCAGATAATGGCTCAGGTAATTGTGTCCCTGCCTCCCACAAGGGAGACCAAGACTGAGTTTCTGGAGACCAGATATAGCCCTGGCTATGGAAGGCGTTTGGGCAGTGAACCAGCAGATTAAAGATCTCTGTGTGCCATACACCTACAGCCAACTGATCTTTTATAAAAAAGTCTTTAAATGTTTATTTCATTACTTGAAAGGCAAAGTGCCGGAGATGAGAGAGAGATCTTCTGTCTAGTTTACTGGTTCACTTTCCAAGTGCCTGCCAAAGCCAGGAGCCAGGAACTCAGTTTGGGTCCCCTAGTGGGTTTTAGGGACGCTAGTACTTGACGCTAGTACCTGCTGCCTCTTCCAGGAGATGCATCAGTAGGAAGCTGCAATCAGAAGCAGAGCATCAGAGCAAGGACTTGAACACAGACACTCCGATATGGCATACAGGCATCCCAAGCAGCATCGCACATAACTCTGTGCCAAGCACCCACTACTGATTCTTGGTAAAGATGCTACGGAACACACACCAGGAAGAGGACAATCTTTCAATAACTGGTGCTGCGAAAGCTGGATGTCCACACAGAGAAGAATGAAACTAGACCCCATCTCTATGTACAAAAATCAATTCAAAATAAAATCTAAATGTAAGGCCTGAAACTTGGAAATTACTAGAACAGGGAGATGCTTCAGGACACTAGAATGGGTGAGGATTTTTGGGCTCAGATTTCAAAAGCATAGGAAACAAAAGCAAAAATAGACAAATGCGATTTGATCCATCTAAAGAGCTTCTGCACAGCAAAGGAATCAACAGAGGGAACAGAACCTACAGAACAGGAGGAAACATCTACAAGTGATGCATCTGACAAAGGTTTAATAGCCAAATTATATAAGGAACTCAAACTCAATAGCAAAATAGAGATAATACAATTAAAAATGGGCAGATCTAAACAGACACTATTCAAAAGAAGACATACAAATAGCCAAGAGATGATGGCCGGCGCCGTGGCTCAATAGGCTAATCCTCCACCTTGCGGCGCCGGCACACCGGGTTCTAGTCCCGGTCGGGGCGCCGGATTCTGTCCCGGTTGCCCCTCTTCCAGGCCAGCTCTCTGCTATGGCCAGGGAGTGCAGTGGAGGATGGCCCAGGTGCTTGGGCCCTGCACCCCATGGGAGACCAGGAAAAGCACCTGGATCCTGGCTCCTGCCATCGGATCAGCGCGGTGCGCCGGCTGCAGCGGCGGCCATTGGAGGGTGAACCAACGGCAAAAGGAAGACCTTTCTCTCTCTGTCTCTCTCTCACTGTCCACTCTGCCTGTCCTACAACACTAATTTTCTAAAAAGGTATCTCGACAAAACTTTTTCAAATAGCCAAGAGATGAAAAAAAAAAGCTCAGGGGAAAGCATTATGGCACAGTGGCTTAAGCCGCCATGTGAAACAACTGAACCCCATATCAGAGGGAAGGTTGGAGTCGCAGCTACTCTACTACCAACCCATCTTCCTGCCAATGTACTCTGGAAAGAGGCAGATGACGACTCAAGTGCTTGGACCCCTGCCACCCACATGGAAGACCTGAATGGAGTTCCTGGCTTCTGGCTTTGCCTGGCTCACCCCCAGCTATTGCAGGCGTTTGCAGGCGTTTGGCGAACCAACATATGGAAGATCTCTCACCCTGCCTTTCAAATAAATAAGTAACTCTTCAAATAAAAAGACCCAAGTTAAAAATAACATTTGCTTGGTGTAAGGAATTTCTAAGTATAAAGTATAAACTTTCTATCCTCTCTGATGGGTTGCAATAAAAGAAAAGTACAATACAAAAGAAGTATTTCATCTCAGATAAATTAGAATAAAATATCTATGATATGAACAACAAACTTTGTACCTACTTTTTATTGAGTGCCTGATACATGTGTGACAACACTATGCTAAGTGCTTTCTTTATATACTCTACATAATTCTCAAAAAACCTTTCTGGTAGGTAGTGGTTATGTCCCTGTTTTATAGATAGCAATGATCAAATAGTCTACCTGGGGCCTGCTTTGTGGGGTAATGGGTAAAGTCGTTACCTACAACCCCAGCATCCCATATGGGTGCTGGTTTGTGTTCTAGCTGCTCCACTTCTGATCCAGCTCCCTTCTAATGGCCTGGAAAAAGCAGAAGATAATGGTCCAAGTATTTGATCCCCTGCTACCCATGTGGGAGACCTAGGTGAAGCCCCTGGCTTTGGCGTGGCCCAGCCCCAGTCATTGAAGCCACTTGGGGAATGAACCAGCAGATGGAAGATTTCTCTCTCTCCCTGTATCTATCCTTCCCTCTCTAACTCTTTCAGATAAAAATAAACAAAAATTTTTTTAAAACAATCTACCTTAGTTGTCCAGGCCAGAGAGGTCAGACAAGGTAGAAATGAGGTTCAAAGCTAGGTTTCTCTGGCAAGATGGACTAACAAGAGGCCAAGAAGATAAAAGTTATTTAAAATTCTTCCTGGCCGGCGCCGCGGCTCACTAGGCTAATCCTCCGCCTTGCGGCGCCGGCACACCGGGTTCTAGTCCCGGTCGGGGCGCCAGATTCTGTCCCGGTTGCCCCTCTTCCAGGCCAGCCCTCTGCTGCGGCCAGGGAGTGCAGTGGAGGATGGCCCAAGTGCTTGGGCCCTGCACCCCATGGGAGACCAGCAGAAGCACCTGGCACCTGCCTTTGGATCAGCGCAGTGCGCCGGCCATGGCAGCCATTGGAGGGTGAACCAACAGCAAAGGAAGACCTTTCTCTCTGTTTCTCTCTCTCTCTCACTGTCCACTCTGCCTGTCAAAAAAAAAAAAAAATAATAATAATAAAAAAATAAAAAAAAAAAGAGAACAACAAAAAAATTCTTCCTTAACAGAAGTAATGTGTGAACAGAAGGTTGTCATTTTTTTTTTTACAAATAACAAAAAGATTTGGTAACCTCAGTAAATCTGTTCAAAATTTAATTCAAAAATTGTTTCAAGATATAGTACTACTGTGTTTTTACTGAGGTAGTCATACACAATTAAAACTTACTTTCTCAAGGCAGGTGCTGTGGTGCAGTGGGTTAAAGTCCTAGCCTGCAGTGCCAACATCCCATATGGGCACTGGTTCGAGTCCCAGCTGCTCCACTTCCAATTCAGCTCCCTACTAATATGCCTGGAGAAGCAGCAGAGGATGGCCCAAGTCCTTGGGCCCCTGCACCACATGGGAGACCCGGAAGAAACTTCTGGCACCTGGCTTAGGATCAACTCAGCTCTGGCCATTGTGGCCATTTGGAAAGTGAACCAGCTGATGAAAGACACACACACCCGCCGCCGCCCAGACTCTACCTCTCTCTGTAACCATTTCAAATAAAATAAATATTTAAAAAATTTACTGGGGCTGGCGCTGTGGCGCAGTGGGTTAATGCCTTGGCCTGAAGCGCTGGCATCCCATTTGGACACCGGTTCTAGTCCTGGCTGCTCCTCTTCTGATCCAGCTCTCTGCTATGGCCTGGGATAACAGTAGAGGATGGCCCAAGTGCTTGGGCCCCTGCACCCACATGGGAAACCCAGAAGCAGCTCTTGGCTCCTGGCTTCGGATAGGCACAGCTCCGGCCGTGCGGCCATCTGGGGAGTTAACCAGCAGGTAGAAGACCTCTCTCTCTGTCTCTACCTCTCTCTGTGTAACTCTTTCAAATAAATAAAATAAATCTTAAAAAAAAAACAAACTTACTTTCTCTGTCAGTGGAATAGAATTAAAAACAAGGAGCAGACTAGCATGTGGTACAGTGGGTTAAGTTGTCACCTGTAATGCCCGCATCCCACATAAGCATTGGTTTGAGTCCTGGCTGCTCCACTTATGATCTAGCTCCCTGGGGACTGCGCTGTGGCACAGAGGGTTAAAGCCTTGGCCTGAGGCGCTGGCATCCCATATGGGTGCCGGTTCTAGTCCCGGCTGCTCCTCTTCTGGTAATCTAGCTCCCTGCTCATGCTCCTGGAAAAGCAGTGGAAGACAGCCCAAGTACTTGGGCCACTGTCACCCAAGTGGCAGACCTAGATCAAGTTCCAGGCTCCTGGTTTCAGCCTGGCTCAGTCCTAGATGTTGTGGCTATTTGGGAAATGAACCAGTAGATGGAAGGTCTGGGTCTGTCTCTTTCTCTCTGCCTCTCCATAAATGCCTTTCAAATTAAAAAAAAAAAAAATCTTAATAAATATAGATAGATAAATAGGTAGATAGATAGGGTGCTGGCATTGTGGTATAGCAGGTAAAGCCACCTCCTGCAATACTGGCTTCCTATATGGATACCAGTTCATGTCTTGGGTGCTCCACTTTCAATCCAGCTCCCTAATAATGGCCTGGGAAAAGCAGCAGAAGATGGCCAAGTATTGGGCCCCTGCCACCCACAAGTGGGAGACATGGAAGAAGCTCTTGGCTTTGGCCTGACCCAGCCCTGGCTGTTGCAGCCATCTGGGAAGTGAACCAATGGATAGAAGATTTCTCTGACTTTCAAATAAATAAATAAATAAATAAATAAATAAATCTCTTTAAAAAAGAAATATATGGGGCCTACACTGTGGTGTGGCAGGTTAAGCTGCCATCTGAAGTGCCAGCATCCCATATGGGTGCTGATTTGGTCCCAGCTATTCCACTTCCAATCCCTTGGGAAAGCAGCAGAAGCTGGCCCAAGTGCTTGGGATCCTGCACCCATGTGGGAGACCTGGATAAAGATCCTGACTCCTGGCTTCAGTCTGGCCTAGTCCTGACCATTGTGGCCATCTTCCAGCAAATGGAAGACTTCTCTGTTTCCGCCTCTGCCTCTCCCTCTCTGTAATTCTGCCTTTCAAATAAATAAATAAATACATAAATCTTTTTTTTTAAAGAAAATATAATAAAAGTGAGAAAAATACTAACAAAAGTATTAACAAAAAATTCATAGTATGAATTAACTTACCATTCTTCTTTTATACTTTCAAGGTTATCTACTTCTTTCATTCTCTTTTGTCTTACTGTAAAAATAAACAAAAGTTAAAATTATCAATTTGATATTTAAAACAAATTCATTCCTATGTATGTATCAATATTCTTTGACAGTAATCATGCAATCCTAAAGTAGCTAAAAAGAAAGAAGTGATCAAACTCAAAGCTGTCATTTTCATCTTTAAATAAAGTACTAGTAAAAAGTAAATTTGAGTTTGATAATCTCAAACTTCCTAAAACTCATAATGAAGAAAATGATATGACCTTTAACAGCAATCAAAATATATGAACTATTTCAATCAATCTCTAACTTAAAGTAATAAAACAGCAAATAAATATATGGTCTAATCTCATGAGTCTTTGGGGAGAAAAGTTGACAAGTTATCTATATATTACAGAACATTCATATTTTTGAACCTGATCTTCCACATTGCTGAGAAACAGAGTAAGAATTAAATTATACACACAAAGTTTGTCCTCACAGCAATGTGTTAGGAAAAACTGAAAATAAACTACATGTCCAATGAGTCATGGTAGGAGAGATTCTTGATGGGATAATATACATCCCTTAAAAGTAATTTGGGGAAGGGTAAGGCATTTGGTGCAGAGGTTAGGATGCCGTTTGGGTGGCCAGCATTCTATGCTGGAGTATCTCAATTCCACTCCCTACTCCACCTCCAATCCAGCTTACTCCTGCTGTGCATCATGGTAGGCAACATGTAATAGCTCAGGTGCTTGGATTCCTGCCACCCACAAGGGGACCCAGATTGAGTCCAGGCTCCTGGCTTTGGCCTGGCCCAGACCTGGCTGTTCAAGGCATTTGGTAAGTGAACTACCATCTGGAAGATTTCTCTTTGTCTCTGCCTTCCAAATAAAAATGAAAATAATTTTTTCAAAAAAGTTAGTCAAAGAAGGTTTATAAGTAAAAGCTGAATCAAGAAACATACAATCAGGGCCAGCATTGTAGTACAGCAGGTAAATCTGCCACCTGCAACACTGGCATCCTGTATGGGTGCCAGTTAGCTTTCTGTATGTTCCACTTTTGATCTACCTCCCTGCTAGTGGCCTGGGAGGGGCAGCAGAAGATTGCCCAAGTGTTGTGGGTTCCTGCCACCCACATGGGATACCAGGATAAAGTTCCTGGCTTGGGCCTGACCCAGCACTGGCCATTGTGACCATCTAGGGGAGTGAACCAGTATATGGAAGATTTGTCTCTGTGACCCTTTCAAATCAATCAATCAATCAATCAATCTTGGAGGGAGGGAGGGAGGAAAAAGTAAAAGGCAATTTGAAAATGGTAGGCTGGAACCGGGGTTGTGGCATAGCAGGTAGTTAAGCCACGGCTAGCTACACCAGCATCCCATACCAGACTGACAGTTCTAGTCCTGGCTGCTCCACTTCCCATCCAGCTTCCTGCTAATGCACCTAGGAAGACAGTGGAAGATGGTCCAAGTATTTGGGGCCCTGCCACCCCTGTGGCACTGTTACTCTGCTGGTAGGAATGTGAAATGTTGTAGCTGCCAAGGAAAAGAGTTTGGTGGTTATAGCCATTATTCATAAGAGTCAAAAGGTAGCAAAACCCAAATATCCATCAACAGATGAACAAATAACCAAAATGTGGTATATACAAACAATTCAGCTATAAATAGGAATGAAAATCTAATACATGCTACACCATATATGAATCTTGAAAACATGATGTCAAATGAATAAGCTAAACACAAAAGGACAAGTAAACTATGATCCAGATACATGAAATATCTAGAAAGCAGAACAGAGGTTATCAGGGGTCTGTGGGAGAATGAGCAATTTTTGCTTAATGGAAACAGTTTTTGTTTGAGGTGATCAACATGTCTTGGACAGGGGGCCAGTATTGTGGTACATCAGGCTAAGCTGCTGCTTACAACACTGGCATCCCATATCGGTGTCCTGGATGCTCCACTTCTGACCCAGCTTTCTGCTAATGATCCTGGGAAGGCAGCAGAAGTGGGCCCATACACTTGGGTTGCTGTCATCCATGTGAAGACCAGGACAGAGTTCATGGTTCTGGGCTTTTGCCTGGCCCAGATCTAGCTGCTGCAGCCATCTGGGGAATGAACTAGCAGACAGATTTGTCTCTGTCACTCTGCCTTTCAAATAAATAAATCTTATTTTTTAAAAAAGATTTATTTTTATTTGAAAGTCAGAGTTACAAAGAAAAAGGAGAGGCAGAGGCAGAGGCAGACACACACACACACACACACAGAAAGAGAGAGGTCTTCCATCCAGTGGTTCACTTCCCCATTGGTCACAATGGCTGGAGCTACACCAATCTGAAGCCAGGATCCAGAAGCTTCCTCCAGGTCTCCCATGCGGCTGCAGGGGCCCAAGGACTTGTGCCATCTTCCACTGCTTTCCCAGGCCATAGCAGAAAGCTGGATGGGAAGTGGGGCAGCCAGGACTCGAACTGGCACCCATATAGGATGCTGGCACTGCAGATGGTTGCTTTACCTGCTACACCACAGCATCGGCCCCAATAAGTCTATCTTTAAAAAAAGCCTTGGAGGCATAAGAACTGTGGTGCTGGCATCCTGTATAGGTCCTGGCTACTCCACTTCCAGTCTAGCTCCCTGCTGATGGCCTGGGAAAACAGAAGACGGCCCAAGTGCTTGGGCCTCTGCACCTACATGGGAGAACCAGAAGAAGATCCAGCCGTTGCGGCCAACTGGGAGTGAACCAGAGGTTGGAAGACCTCTCTCTCTCTGCCTCTCCTCCTCTCTCTGTGTAACTCTTTCAAATAAAATTAAAAAAAAAAAAAAAAACAGCTTTGCTCCTGATTCTTGCTTCTTAATAACGCACACCCTGGGAAGCAGCAGATGATGGCAAGCACCTGGGTCCCTGTCACTCTTATGTGAGGTGTGGACTGAGTTTCCAGCTGCTAGTTTCAGCCTACTCCAGTTCCAGCTAATATGGACATTTGAAGAGTAAACCAATGGATGAAGTACTCATTCGCTTGCTCTCTCCCTCTCTTTCAAACAAAACAAAAGTCTTTAAACTAAAAAAGGTCAATATATAAAGAATTAAGTATAGAGAATAAAAAGGCCAGCTAACAACAGTCAACATATATGAACAGACTTTTTTTTTTTTTTTTTTTTTTGACAGGCAGAGTGGACAGTGAGAGAGAGAGACAGAGAGAGAAAGGTCTTCCTTTGCCGTTGGTTCACCCTCCAATGGCCGCCGCTGCAGCCGGCGCACCGCGCTGATCCTGGCAGGAGCCAGGAGCCAGGTGCTTTTCCTGGTCTCCCATGGGGTGCAGGGCCCAAGCACCTGGGCCATCCTCCACTGCACTCCCTGGCCATAGCAGAGAGCTGGCCTGGAAGAGGGGCAACCGGGACAGAATCCGGCGCCCCAACCGGGACTAGAACCCGGTGTGCCGGCGCCGCAAGGTGGAGGATTAGCCTATTGAGCCACGGCGCCGGCTTGAACAGACTTTTTAGAGAAGAGCAAATGGCTCTTAAACACATCTGTATGGAAAGATGCCCAGTTTTACCAACAATAAGGGAAATATAATGGAAACTATATTATGATGACATTTCACACATATCACATTGTCAAAAGTTCACAAGTTTTGTAACATACTTTTTTCCTGAGGCTATGGAGAAAAATTCTCATCTATTATTACTGGTGGGAATCCAAAATGGTGTAATTGCTAGGAAGAATATGGCAACAACTAGCAAAATTACACATGCATATGACAGTCTCTTGTTAAACTTTGTTAGACTCCTCTGAGCCATCATCTCAACTAGGTCAACCTCTCAACCTTAGGCTTACATCTCCATCCCTACAGAGTCCAATTTTAGCAAAAATCCTTAAGCCAGTTTACCCAAAATCCACCCCTTAGTCCCCGATATCTTACTTTGGATAACCAATTGGTTTTCTGTCCTCTGCAACCTCCACACCCACCCCACAGGTGTTTGATCACTGTGGCCTGTCTTCAGTAAGGATCCTATTGTCTTATCCAGAGGTTTCCCCAAAATAATCTGCTGCTCAATGATCCCTCACCTTTCTCACTGATTAAATTTCCATTTGTTCATACTGTGTTCAGAGTTGAGTCTAATCTCTCTTCTCTACTGCAAAATTCCACTGCAGTGGACCCTGCACCCATCAAGACAAGCCCTTCAACTCTGGAAAAAAGTCTTCCTTACTTTGCTTTAACAAGTATCACTGGGGGCTGGCGCTGTGGCGTAGCAGGTTAATGCCCTGGCCTAAAGCGCCAGCATCCCATATGGGCACCAGTTTGAGACCTGGCTGCTCCACTTCCAATCCAGCTCTCTGCTGTGGCCTGGGAAGCAGTGGAGGATGGCCCAAGTCCTTGGGCCCCGCACCTACGTGGGAGACCCACAAGAAGCTCTTGGCTCCTGATAGGTGCAGCTCTGGCCATTGGGCCAGCTGGGGAGTGAACCATCAGATGGAAAGCCTCTCTCTCCCTCTTTGACTTTCGAACAAATAAATAAATCTTTAAAAAAAAATCAATGGACTTTTTTTTTCTGTAACACTATATAAGTTTAGAAACATGTAAATATTTTTGTATTTGTAAATATACAAAAGAAAATCCTTGAAAACTGAAAGTAAAAATGAAACAAATGAGAGGAAGACATTTGGTGTAGCAGGTAAGACACCGCTTGGGGGCTAGCACTGTGGCAAAGTGGGTTAGGCCGCTTCTTGCAATGCCCACATCTTTTAATCAGAGCAATGATTCTGGCCCTGGATGTCCCACTTCCTATCTAGATCCCTGCTAATGCCCCTGGGAAAGCAGTAGGAAGGCAGTAGATGATGTCCCAAATACTTGGGCTCCTGTCACCAACATGACAGATGGGGATCTTGGCTTTGGCCTGACCCTGGCCCACCTCTAGCAGCTGCGTCATATGGGGAGTGAACCAGCAGATGGAAGATCTCCCTCTTCCTAACTCTGCCTTGCAAATAAATAAATCTTTAAAAAGCATACGTATTTTATATTAAATTGCAGAGAGAGAAGGATAAAGATATCTTC